GACACAAAACGAGTCTCCAATGATGCAACGTAATCGCGACTGTTCACCAAATGGTTTTGGATGGAATGGAAGAAGCTTTCGCTTAACAGGCTACCGTGTCTAGTAGCAAGGGATCACGAATAACTCCAGGCAGGAACTTAGGTATGTTAACGATAAAAGAGGAAACAGAAATCGGTAAATCATAGTATGATATTATCCTCAGACCTTAAGTATAGATCAAGTTGCCTCATAGACGACTCCTGGGAAGTCTCTTGGACTAGATCGGCCGGCAGCAAATCCAGCATTTGACAACTCTTAAGGAGTAGAAGTTGTGTCTACAGTCCGTTCTGTTTTGTTGTGTCTCCAATTTCTAGGTGTTACCCCTTAGTTTGGTATTGGGACTAAACGACTACTTTCGTGCACATATAAGAAGACGAAGAAGGCATGTGGAGTCAGAGAACTGTATAGAGATAATCACTCACATTTATCAGTAATCCATAGTCCCGGACGTATGTCGTGCACTATGCGACTGTTTCAGCAAGGCGTATACACCACTCACATAAACCCAGTTAAATTGTAATGACCAAGACTTTATAACTTTGTGGCAGATATTATTACAGGCCGATCGTTCAACTGGATACATGAACTGCCGTTTGGTTGGTATTATCTCAGGAGTTATTCCAACATATCTCAAGCCTTCATTCGGAATTGGAGTGGTAGAGCGTTTATATTGGATAAGTGACTCGTTTAGTTACGTAGCTAATCGGACATTTAAAGTATCTGAAATTTCAGGGCTGGTAAGTTCTTCAACACTAGTCTCTTATATAGCACGAGGCTGCGGGTTAGAAGGCTTATTTTGACCTGTGAACTCATACAGGTATTTGTAGCTAGCTTAAAGTGTGTTGGTGAACTCAGCTAGGAAGATCGTCCTCTCATTTCGTCAAAGTACCTCAACCAGAGCTTTCGTTTGTGCCATGTCCCTCTTTCTGCCCGAAGTAACTGCCCTGTACAACGCTTCAATATATTATTTCATACAAACATGCTAAATGAACATAATCATGTGGTAATTTCGGAATACGATATCCAAACCAGAATATGACTGTCAATCCACTAGTTCAATTCTATTGATTAGTCTGCTCTAGGTTGTGTGATTAATTCAAGTGACTCGCACTTGAATCCTTCTAGTTTCCTTTCATCTATCTCTCTATATTCACTTGTTTGTCTGTTGATCCTATTCTATTATTTTATTAATCCATAAACACGAGACACGCTGACTGTTTGACATCCCGGACAGTTTGTATTCATCTTGATACAACGAAGATTAGACCAGTCTAATGCAATCCTTAATTTATTCTATCACAATAACATTACTGGATATTCTATTGCCAGCGTTGCTACTGTCCTACTGCTGATGATTCTAAGTTCCAATGTCAATGTAAGTCTTATTCAGTTGCAAAGAGGTGTACATCTGGTATTCAGTTAGGACTTGTTCGCTTGAAAGCGTTCGTTCGAGCCCTGATGGATTCCTTCCTTCTCCCACCTATATATTTGAACAGTCTGTGCGTTTTATGGCACCCGTTAGCTTTTTAACGAACTGTGTCCTGTGTGAGTTTTCGTTCCAGAATCAAGGGACAGGCTGTTCAATTCCCCGGCCAGAAGTCTATGTCCAAGATCCTGAGTGTGGTAGTAGTGATATCTTACGGGGCACTTTTAATTTGTGTGCGACTTTACCTGTATGACATATTCTTCCATTTCGGTACTAGATGATGTTTCATTGTGGAAGGACAAAAGGCGATCTCAAATTTTGTATAGGGTTTCACTTCTCAGAAATTTTTTTCTTATGGCACATCAGATTGTCCATTTTCTCTCTCTATGTCCCCGTTACAATATTTGTGACGCTGTAGACTTGCCTTTATACGTGGATATATCTTACGTAGGCTGCTGTCATCGGAACTTAAATCACCATTGCTGCATACGTATTGATATCGCTGCTGGCCCTGTGAATACGGCACTTTGTCTTCGCGTAGAGTGAGTAACCACACAATACACACCAAATCATCCTGATTTGATCGAATTGACTAATTCGGAACTTCATCGCAATAGGATCACTAAGTGACGACGATAATCACTAACCGGATGAAATAATGCTACTGTCAGCATAAACGGTCGTACAAATGTCAGAAGAGTAACAGACTAGTTATTAAAATTTTTAATGGAATTCTCATGACTCACACTCTGTATCTTCATTTGCCGTATTGAACGTACAAGCGTCAGTGAAAATCTTGCTTCCAGTGACTGACCGAAATCAATGCGTTTGTGTTAACTAAACACAATCCGAGACAGTCAACCGGGAGCCAATATTTCCAGTACACTGCCTCACTCGACAACCGAATTCCTCGTAATAAGGCAACACTGGTTTTCGGGTGCCTGGTAGCGAATTCATGTTGAGATAAGAGATGAAGAATGCGGTAATGTTTGGAAGAACAAATATATTTTTTATATACAGACTTGGAGAATCATAAAGGTAGTACAGGTGAGTAAGATGTTTCACATTGCACACGAAATGGATATGAAAAGAGGACAGAGTTTTAAAATTACTGTCTAGTTCGTCATTAGTACATTCGTCTTTATTACCATAATAATAAACCTAACCCGAAAATTGAGGAGTTGTCATGATGTGTCTACCTAATCCAAAAGATCTTATATGGAAGTAACATCGTAGTCTAGGCTGTCCCGTGTCACAACAATCATCAGTATGACACCTAGCTCTTCTGAAGGACACGTTTAAAGTAAAAGACAGTAATACATCCGATACAAGGGATTGAGGCTACATAGTGTGACCATGCCTGCATCGCCACGCAACTTCGATTACAGTCCTCACGTTTCCAGTCTTCGACCTTCTCGAACTGTTATGTGTTGACCATAAATGTCCCAGTAATTATATATTCAGCTTCAAAGATCACGTGCCCAGGAACTACTATCATCACAGTCATGAGATATGTCAGTTTACGGGCGCCAACATTTCCAACAAAATATGGTTTGCTTATATATAGTTCTAAAATCACTTCGAAACGAATCAGACTAATTGTTGCTCAGTGGATTCTGGAAGCAATATTATAGCAAGCAACTGTCCTTATAAATGTAACCAAGGCCATTGTAATACAAATGTATCCAAACTGTTGAAATATCTGTCTTGAAATTCTAATTAGTCCGAACGTATCTTTTGGAGATGTTGTAAAAGATGGGCAAACTGGAAAAACTATTTTTTGGAAGAGGAAGCAAAAGCGGACAGACGTATGACGGCAGATTGAACGAGCAACACTTTTCTCAGTCCCAGTGGTAGGTCTCCCGGAATTTAGGATTGAACGATGAGGAAACGATATTTTCAGAATGTTCGAATTAAAAATACCTCAACTATCCTCCCAATAATTAAATAATATGTAAAATAAGGAACATCGTTTTACACAGCCTATTGGAGAGCGTGTCAGTGTCTTTGCAGACTTAAAATCTCCGTCGTGTCGTCGTTTATAAATGGCATGTTGTGGATCAGACCACTGGTTAACGCAGTAACAACATTGAATCTAAACGGTCTAGACTGAGAAATTTTCGACATTATAAAAATCTACAGGTGAGATGATGTCGAGCCATATGAGTAAAGTAACATGCTAGACGTATCGTGTTCAAAATCCTCCTGGGAACTTGAGTTTGTCGTGGCATTAAATCCTAACCACACGACATTTGAATCCGAGCGTATAATTACTGAAAAGATTTTTTACTCAACAATCGATATGAAGAGAAGGTTAACAATAAAGGTGGGAAGATTCATTTGAATTCAGTCGGGTGTCATGGCTCAGCTTTTTAGGCATGAGCATGTCTGTGTAGCCGAAATGTGTTCTCCTGAAGTAGGACGAGTCAGTGTAGACAAAGATGTGACTTGCACGTAAGATCTTATAGATTGGGCAGTCACATCCTGGCAACTCTACAATTTGAAGACAAGGTCTATTATTATAATGACACTAATAATAACGCGGACTATAATTCTACGAGTTCATCAATAATGTAAAACTGATTATACTTAGTAAATTATTTCACAACAAATTATTTCCATATGACAACTGTATTCTCAACAGCTTAAAGATGCTCAAGGTCGCTAAAGGCTGTCTTTACACTGTGATTTATCTGGAAAGTTTTCAGGGACAGTCTGAAAAATTCAACAAGCTGGTAGCCAATTTCTGTCAGCTGATATAAGACATCCCCACGGATTATCAGCGACATTAAAAATTTGGAGCTCTATCCATCAATGGTTTTAAAACTCAGTCAGACTATCTGAGAAACTTATACAGCCAGGAATAACACAAGTCACCCATCACATTGAACAGGATTGGTGTGTCTTGGTTTGCGTCGGGTCTACTAATCGCAGTTAATCACTAGCGTGGATAATCTTTTGTGGTATACGGGTGCTTTGGCTCGTTCGATGACTGCACAGAAGTAAGCACAGATTAGTGAACGCAGAATGGAACCACTGAAACACGGTACAACTCAGCGTGCAATTTATTAGTTCGTGTTGGTCGTTCCTGACTTTGAAGCTGTACGATGAACTGATCAGCCATGTAACGTATAAAAGGTCCAGTATGATAGGTGGCTTTCCCAGAACTCATTGAGTTCTCAATAACAAAGCCATTATTAATAATAATGGTCATGACTGTACTTCGAATGACTATAAGCTTCACTTCCATTGAAATATATGAAATGAGCTAGGAAATCACTACTATTATTATTTTCGAGGCTGCGTGGTAAGAATAAAGCATGGATGCATCTTGAGTATTTTTCGAAATTTAGCAGTTGCACATAAAGAGACAGCTTTCCAACATTACTGGGATATATGATCACAGAAACATCAAATACTCGTCTACGGACTCTACTCACCAGCCGAAACAATTGTAAATAAATCTTATAGGACCTGCTGAGTATCTGAGACCACTCTTTAACACTAAGACAACAGAGAGAAAAATTGAAATGAATGTACTTGTTCGTCCCCATGATATTGAATATTGGATTGAGGAGCATGTTTTGAGTGTTGCGGATTAGTTTTTTTCTCGTGTCATAAAGGTTTGTAATTTGCATTTATTGTAACGGAATGCGTTTATCATCTCTATCTGTCGATGAGAGTTTATATTTTTACATTTATCTCAGTGCATAGGTGACAGGTCTCCTCTACTAGGATATAAACTCGATTCTAATGTGCCTTAATATAGTCAATCTAATATTGTTTAGATCAGAATCTCAGACTTCGAAATATCTTTATCTTTTTTGAAGTATTTCTGTGTAGATTCTTTGGAGTTTTAACAATTTGTTCCTTAGTTATGAAGTTATGTTACAGGATTTCATTACCATATGCATATAGTAGTTTTTAGGATATATGTGGTCAACTATCTATTAAGCAAAGCTCCAAATCCGCGTACGTTAAAGTGCACGCAAATTCAGACTGGGTATTTGTATCGCAATTATGTAGAGAAACCCTTTGTGCTTAAGAATGTTTTATCCAATAGTTCTTTTACACTTGCAGTGACTACATACACCCTCTACTAATGTAGTTTCGAATGTCAGTTTCATAAGGGTTGTCAATTCAAAATAATAAATGGTATCTTCGTAACTGGTTTATCTTGGTTCGTGTGTTCATATTATGAATTACCCGTCATGACACCTAACTTCCTATTCAAATGGTTCAAATGGTTGTGGACGGAATAGAAGAAGCTTTCGCTTAACAGGCTTCCGTGTCTAGTAGCAGGGGATCACCAAATCCTCCAGGCAGGAACCTAGGTATGTTAACAATAAAAGAGGAAAAGAAATTGGTAAATCATAGTGCGATGCTGTCCTTGGTCCTTAAGAATAGGTCAAGTTGCCTCTTGAAGGACTCCTGAGAAGTCGCTTGGACTAGCTCGGCCGGCAGCGAATTCCAGCTTTTGACAACTCTTAAGGAGTAGAAGTTGTGTCTACATTCCGTCTTGCTATGTTGTGTTTCCAGTTTCTGGGTGTTACCCCTTAGGTTATTGTTCGAACTAAGCTTAAGTAGGTGTTTAAGAGGATGTCCAGAAGTGTTAAGAATACTATAAGCCATTAATAAATCACCTCTAAGACGCCTATATTCTAGTGGGTAAAGGTCTAGTGAACGGAGGCGTTCTTCGTAAGGCTTAGATTTGAGTCCTCGAACTGATTTCGTGGCTCGCCGTTGGATACGCTCCAAAGTGACCTTATCCTTTTGGAGTGAGGGGGGGAGTACTATGTTTCCGTACTCTAAATGGGGACGGATGAAACTATTGAAGATTGTGTGGAAAGTTCTTCCGTCAAACTGACCAAAAATGCGCCTCAACGTTACCAGTGCAAGGTTTGCTCGGAAGGCATTTTTGTCACAGTTAGCGTAAGACTTTAAGTCATGGGGCACCAGGACTCCTAAATCTTTTTCGACTTGGGATACTACTAGAGAGGAGTTTCCTAAGTTGTAACTGTAGTTTGCGACATGTCGCAGATGGACTACTTTACACTTAGAAGTGTTAAAGGTAAGTCCGTTATCGTCTGCCCAACTATGAAGTCGAGTCAGATCCTCTTGAAGAGCCTGTATATCGTCTTGGTTGCGTATCTCTCTCCAAAGTTTCACGTCGTCGGCAAAAAGTAATAAGTCTGACGTTACCTGTTGAGGAAGATCATTTATGTAAATCAAGAAGAGAAGAGGCCCTAGTACTGAGCCCTGGGGGACCCCACTAGGACATTCCATAGCTTGAGATAAAGTGAAATTAACCCTAACCTTAAAGTGTCGATTTTTTAGGTATGAAGTAAGCCAGTCGATTAGAGGTGGTTTGATACCTAGTCGTTTGAGCTTGTTGATAAGACACAAGTGGTTAACCTTATCAAAAGCTTTTGAGAAATCAAGGTAAATGACATCAACCTTTCCCTTGCGATCGAGGATGCTTGTCCATCTGTCCACCGCAGTCAGCAGGTTGGTTATACAAGAGTAACCCTTCCTGAAACCATGCTGTTGGGGTGAGAAGAAATTTAAGGACAGTAGGTAGTCATTTAAACCGTCGCATATCAGGGACTCCATGAGTTTTGAAGGTAACGACAGAAGAGCTACCGGCCGGTAACTTGAAGGTTCATTGCGTCGACCACCTTTGAAAATTGGTGTGATGTGAGCCAACTTCCAATTTTCCGGTAGTTTGCCTCGGCTAAGCGAGTGTGAAAACATCACGCTAAGCGGCGTTGCCAGGATTGAGGCTGCCTCCCTCAGTATGGCAGGATGAACCATATCCGGGCCAGGAGAAGTGTCAAGTCTTAAGTGCTGCAGTTTCCGGAACACCAAGTCAGCGCTTAGGTCCACTTCAGAAAGTCCTGTGGAATTGCAGATGAAACTGTCGTCAATAAAGTTGATATCAGCCGGTTGAAATGTTTGAGAGTAATGGGCCGCCAGAAGGTTAGCGGCGTCGCCATCGTTGTTGGTCGGGCCGTTAGGACCTAGCAGTTGAGAAACTCCTGTTTTGGCTTGACGAAGAGAGGCTGCATAACGGAATAGGCTTCTAGGGTTAGAGGCGAATTTGTCCATAAGCTTTGTTTGGTACTGAAGCCTGTCTTCTCTTATAGCCTTCGTGCATGTGTTCCTGATATGTTTGTATTGCCTATACGCTCCATCGTTATTAGTTCGTTTGTATTCCGCCCAACAGTGCCGTTTGCGGCTTAGGAGGCGAAGGGTACGGTTCTTGATTACTGTAGGTGGCTTGAAGCTTTTGGGAACCGTTTGAGGAACTGAATGGTTTGTAGCACGTAAGAGCGTGTGCAGCAAGAAGTCCCAATGACCATCCACATCGATTTGAGGGTGAACATCCCAAGCCACCTGTTGTAGATGGTCATGTAGAGCTCGCACATTCAGCCGTTTAAAATTCCATCGCAAATTATTGTTGGGATACCTTAGCTTAGTTTTGATGACAAAACTGAAGGCTATGACGGCATTCTCAGTATCAGAATTTATGGTGTGTTTACTATCATGTTTTGCTACTCACTAGTCGTCGCATGTTGTAACTTAGGTGGCACGTATGCGTCCGCTCTTTATCTTCCGCTAGATACTGGGTTTCAATATGATTTTTGGCCTTTTCAATTTATCGCTTTTCAAAACATCAATATAATAGGGTATTCTCCCATTATTTATACTTACCTTCTGATAATTTGTAGATAACCTTAAATGGTATGCTTACTAGTGTCGTTTACTTATTACTCAGGACCAACTTTTAACATTTTGCACATGATTCGTATAGTCTCTCATTATGAGTACATGCTGGCTAGTCATATGGCACTCAATAACTTATAAATGTTCGTGAAATCCTGGTATTTTGGGCTTCGTCAAAGTAAAGGGTATTTCGGCGAGACTCTAATTTAGCGACGACCCTTGAACGAATCTTAAATGACCTTGACAATTATTAGCCAATCAGAAGACAGTTAGTTTAAAGTGAGAATATATTGTAAGTAATGAATTACAGTGGATATTCTTCTTTTACATGATTTAAAAACTTGTTAAGGTTTGATAAAGGTTCAGAGGTTCTGAATTCATAATACATTTGGTAAGGTTAGGGTGCTAACATGCGATCAGTTTACAACGGATTTTATAGGTTAGGGTTAGGGTAAGGGTTAGGGTTGCAGCCTGTCAATAAACACCTCTTCTCTGAAATCCGATGTAAACCGACCGCATGTTAGCACCCTAACCTTAACCTAACCCTAAACCCTAACCCCCAAATGCCCTGGTATGGCCGAGAGTGGGGTGGGTCCGCCCTCCCTCTCGAAATACTCTCACACGGCCACGCGTATACACAGCCTCTGCCAGGGAAGTCCTACTCACCGCCTTCTCGTGGCGGGGGTGTTGTTTACAAAAATGAGAGGACGGAAAGCGAATGTCCGGCGCTTTAACCGGATTCCAAACTAGTGGTTTACATGGGCTCCAGTATCCTGCGGGAACAAATGGCGTATGAACCAATTGTTGGTCACCGGCTACCATGGGACTGCATCTCCTCACGATGCTCCACTGCCTTGTGGATCAGACCTTTAGGTCAAAGGCTCAGAGTGTGGCCCCCTAAGATAACCACCTGCTTCGGTTTGAGAACCCGGGCAGTATCACAGCCCTCACACATATCGAATGAGATTTGTGTGGCGCCTATGTATTTGGTTCCTCTTTGTACCAATATCTGTGTTGAAATAAAAAAACAACATTAACCTAACCTTAACCCCAAACCCTAACCCTATGGACGACTTTCTATACAATATGCATTATGAATTCAGAACTTCTGAGCCTTTACCAAACCGTAACAAGTCTTTAAATCATGTAAAAGAAGAATATCCACTGTGATTCATTACTTTCTTGTAATATATTTTTACTTTATACTGTCTTCTGACTGGCTAACAATTGAAATTGCTCAAACGCTTCTCATTGGCTCGTCCGTAAATTAGAGTTTCGCCGTCCCATCTGTTTTAACCTCTCATTAATCACCTCCTCTCTAAAATCCGCTGTGAACCGACCGTATGTTAGCATCGCGTGTTGAACTTGACTCCGTGGCCTTGAAATTGCTCAAACGCTTCTGATTAGCTCGTCGCTAAATTAGAGTCTCGCCGATAATTCTGAAAAACTAAGGAATTGTCTTTACGTACCATAGGTATTAGGCTGTAACAAATATTTGGAACATCATTTTTGTTCATAGTTGTATGATAACGGATATATAAAATATATCACTTTTGGTTGTAAAAACCGAAGCATCACGAGGATCTATAGGATGTTGTCGATTTCATCCTAAAGTTAACCTGGCACTAAATGTTTCAGCTAACGTGCGACAGTGTTAGCCAAGTCTAGCCTCTAAACTATGTCCAACAGCTCTCTCTGAGTTTGATAATCGTTATTTTTAAAACATTCCTCGCACTCAGTGGCAATATCTCATAAGCGTGATTTTTTTTGTAAATGATCGTTTTTTTTCGAATTTAAAGCTAGTTTTATTGACTATCACACATACTCATACCGTCCGAGCGACCTACGTACTGATTGCTATTTATTATTACTGGACTTTGTGGTAAAGATTGTGTGA